GCCCCCACCGAAGGTCCCAGTGGCAGGGCCCGCATGCGTACTCGGGTCAACTTTGGCACACCACTCAGACGCTTCGTGGCCTCATAGGGAGCTCCACCGAAGGCCTCAGTGGCAGGGCCCGCATGTGTACTCGGGTCCAGTTTGACACACCCCTCACACGCTTCGTGGCCCCATAGGGAGCTCCACCGAAAGTCTCAGTGCCAGGGCCCGCATGCGTACTCGGGTCCACCTTGGCACACCCCTCACACGTGTCGTGGCCCCATAGGGAGCTCCACCGAAGGCCCCAGTGGCAGGGCCCGCATGCGTATTCGGGTATACTTTGGCACACCCCTCACACATTTCGTGGCCCCATAGGGAGCTCCACCGAAGGCCCCAGTGGCAGGGCCCGCATGCGTACTCGTTCCACTTTGGCACACCCCTCACACTTTTTGTGGCTCCAATGGCAGTGCCCGCATTGTGACTCGTGTCCCTCCTTGCATGTCCCTTACGAGCATGGCGCAGGATCGCCCGCGCAGTCTAGGTCAGAGGTGAGGTCGCCCATCGGGCCCTCTGATCACTCAATGTTCATGACCGCGATCATGATGCACGATTATCGACGCGATTTGGCTCGGAGGTGAGGTTGCCCATCGGGCTCTCTGATCATTCCCGCTTCTTGACCAGCATGGCGCATGATCACCGTCGCCCTCTGGCTCAGAGGTGAGGTTGCCCATCGGGCCCTCTGATCACTCCCGATTCTTGGCCACGAGCATGGCACGGAATCACCGACGCGGTTCGTTGATGATGATGATGATGATGGGTGATGATGATGATGATGGTGATGATGATGATGATGATGGTGATGATCATGATTGCATGGCCGGCGCACAATCCAGCTCGGAGCAGAGAGAAGGAGCGGAGAGGAAAAATCGAGTGAGCGGCGAGGCGGGTAGTCTGCCTGGCCTCAACCGCCACGCGCATGTCTGCCATTGCTGGGGACACATACGTGCCTCGGAAAGAGTACGGAGGGAATAATCGAGTGAGCGGCGAGGCGGGTAGTCTGCCTGGCCTCAACCGCCACGCGCATGTCTGCCATTGCTGTGGACACATACGTGGCTCGAGTCCTGTAGCCAGTGTCCTGCGAGTCTCCCGAATTCCGTCTGCAGACATATGTAACCCTCGCTCCGTCATCGCCCCTTTATAAAGTTTCCTACACTATTTGCACCCCCGCGTTTGCGCAGGGGTGGGGTACGTCGCCAGGGTAATTATTCATGCTCGCGGGAATCAATGTTGCGTTTCTGGGGTATGAGGTACAGCGCAATCCGCAATCCACCCAAGTTTTGCAAAATGCTTATACTTTGGATTGCTGGATCCGAGCTGCAGTAGAGACATTTGATTTACTTCGTAATTCGATCAATGAATTAGGAAACGAAGTATCTGAGACCGTGCGACGGAATTGCTCAGGCATTCAAGAGGCCTTCGTCTTCATACACACGTCTACGGAGCCCCGATGTTGTGTCAAGATTTGTCTCGCCAACAGCCTGCCCGGGGTCTTCAACGCTGATGACGCCATTGGGATCACCAATTGCTTTAAGAAAAAAAAAAGGGAGAGTGGCCCAGCCAACTCTCCCACCGAGACAGTCCCAGTCGAATCGCTAGCAGATGCTGTAGCCCCAGTCGTTGAAAGCATTACCCCGAGCGGCGCCGCCGCCTCGGGGCAGCGAACCCAGCGACGCTCTCGCCCGGCGCGACCGAGGTTCCAGTATTATGGGCGGCAATCTCACGAGGCCGCTCCCTATGCTCCTGCGTCTGCCGGCTCAGCCGCGTCAGGCACCAATGCCGGCTGGATCGATTATGACAGGATGCAGTCCTGGGCGGCTGAATCCTGGACTGAGGAACCCAACCCCCGAAGACTGGCTGTCGATCCGGTTGGCGGCCGCGCGCGCGATGGCGATGGCCCCGGGCCAGCCGCGGGCGGCGCGTGCGACGCGGCCGTCGACGGCGAGGACAAGGCCGAGAATGGAGTGCAACGACAAGTTCCAGCGCGACTGTAGGACGCCGAGTACCTTGCCGGCGACTCCCCCGCCGCCTTCGCCAAAGGCGAGACCGCGGGAGAAGGGCCAGGGCAGGAGTGAGCCAGGTGGCTGGGGCTCGAGGACAGCTCCTCCAGATTCAGTGGCGCTGGAGCAACAGCGATCCCCGGGACGACTCTCGAGAACAGAGAGGTCGATGGAGAAGGTGATGGTGCGCAATGGAACCTGTGCGACAAAGTCGATACTGGTCCGCACTACTTCGTGGAGCGGGTGCACCAGTTGTGCGTGGGCATTGAGGCCTGAGCTGGAAATATTAGCCCAGGCGGGGGACGTCGGGCTTCTTCGGCCTTCCGCCCTCTGGCAACCATCGTCGAGCGGTAATGTGCTTTTTGGGGTTCGCTCCGGTGGCTGTACATATGTGCAGGCCAGGTGGGTTGGGGGTCGGGGCGGCTCTACGGACCCCGCCGCGGGGGGAGTCAATGCGCCCCTTCCGCGCCACCATTCTCTTGCACTGCCTGCTCTCTCTCCTTGCGCGCGCGCTGTCCGCCTGCTGTGCTGACTCATTCTGCCCCCGCAGTTATATACTTTGGCCCTAGGGAAACGGACACGGAGCGAGCCTGCGGCGCGCGCGCGTGCGTCGGCCGGCGGGCCGGCCTCCTCCCTTCAGTGTTACCTTACTGTATGCGTGACGGTGCTATCCCTTCTTGCCCATGTCATCTGCGGAGCCCACTGACCATGATATATCATCGGAACATCTTGCAGGGATTACGAACATCCAGGCAAGAGGCTATTCCTGTATACCCCGGGCGTAGCCCGAATTTGTTTTTCGCGAAGTAACCTCCAATTCGCTGACCGACTGACTGGTCGCACCCGTGGCGCGACGGTTTCATTTTCGGCGGCCGAGGGCGCAAGTTATGGCGCAAACAGTAGGAGGCGTTTTTATTGTCGGCCGCCGTGGGCGCAACCTATGGCGCAACCAATAGGAGGCGGTTATATTCTCGGCCGCCGAGGGCGCAACCTATGGCGCAACCAACAGGAGACGGTTTTATTTTCGGCCGCCGAGGGCGCAGCCTACGGCGCAATCAATAGGATACGGTTTTATTGTCGGCCGCCGAGGGCGCAACCCATGGCGCAATCAATGGAAGACGGTCTTATTCTCGGCCGCCGAGGGCGCAACCTATGGCGCAACTAATAGGAGACGGTTTGATTCTCGGCCGCCGAGGGCGCAACGCATGGCGCAACCAACAGGAGACGGTTTATTTTCGGCCGCCGAGGGCGCAACCTATGGCGCAACCAATAGGAGACGGCTTTGTTTTCGGCCACCGAGGGCGCAACCTATGACGCAACCGATAGGACACGGTTTTGTTTTCGGCCGCCGAGGGCTCAATCTAAGTTGTCAGCCGCCGACTTTTGAGTCATGGAGGTCATGCGAAACACCGCGCAGGCAAACAGCCACGACATGCCGCACCTGCCATCAACATGCGACGGCGCCAGCACCGTGAGACTGGCCCCCGCCGCCGCCCCAACATCACGGTACCCCCCCGCGCGGCGGGGGGGGGGTACCGTGAGGTTGGCCCCCGGCGCCGCCCAAACTTCATTGTGCCCCTTGTGCGCCGAGGGGCGCCGTGAGGCTGGCCCCCGCTGCAGCCCCGACCTCACGGCACCCCCGCGCGGCAGGGGGTACCGTGATCCTGGCCCCCGTCGCCGCCGCCCCAACCGCGAGGCTGGCCCCCGCCGCCGCCCCAAGGGCGGCCCGCGATGACTGCTGCTTGAGCACCCTTGGGCCATCTCGGGGGCACAGGAACTCTGGGCGCCAGCGGGCTATTTTTGTTGTCGTCGGCTTCGTGCGTGGATCCCGTGACATGTCTGTCTTGGGGTGCGTGTTGCATTGCAGTTGCCGTGGAAAATATGCAATTCAAAGCGCGCGTGGGCTCCCAGTCGAATGTCGTTCCCGAAAGCGTGAAGGGCCAAGTGGCCTTCCCACGGCTAAGGGTAAAAAGGCTTTGTCACGCTTCTCCGGGCCCCCCCCAAAGTCGGGCATGAGGTTTGCCGTGCGCGATTGAATCGTTTCTCGCGCCCAGGTTTGCTCTTGGTTACCGCGTTATTGTCGAAACCGACACCGAAACTCCTCCCCCTCTTTCTCCCTCGCTCCCCCTACTCGCTCCCGCTCCCGCTCTGCCTCCCGCCTTCCTCTCCTCCCTCTCCGCGCGTTCCGCGCGCCGAATCGCATGGGGGCAGCAGAGGCGGCGGGGCCGTGTGAGAGCAGGCGAAGTGCTGTCCTCGCTGAAACGCCGGCAGCTTGTGCGTGAAAATGGTGTTGCCGGGCAGCGCGCGCTTCGTCTTGACCGCGCCCCTCGGACATTTGACCGCCCGAGTGAGGGCTGACTGGTGCGCTCGCCGCAGCTCCGCGCAATTGTTTTCTGAAATTCCGCTTGCGCCCGTGCGCAGTCCGTGTTTTCTCCCCCTCGCCAAGTCGTAGGAAACCGGACGCGCGCGAGCGCCTTCCGTTCGTTACGTGGGAACGCTTGTTACTCCCAGTGGCGAGTTGTGCCGCCATTGATTCGCATTGTGCTGGGGTCGGGGTGGGGGCGGGTGGGGGCCTGCTGGCTCCTTCGACGTGGCTGACTTGACTTCCTCTCCTGCTCCCGCTCTGCTCCCGGTCTGTTCCTGCTCCCCACCCTCCTCCCCCTACTCCCCCGGTTCCCCCCGGCTTCCTTCGCTCCCGTCCCCTCGCTCCTCTCCCCCTCCCCCCTTCTCCCGCTCTCCCTCTCCCCTCTCCTTTCCCCTTCCTCTCCCCCTTATTGTCTCGCCCTCCTCTCCCCCTCTCTCCCCTTCCTCTCCCCCTCTCCCCCTCCACCCCCTTCCTTCCTCCTCTTCCCCCCCTCCCCTCCTCTCCCCCGCCTCCCCTCGCTCCTGTTTCCCGCTCCCCCCCCCTCTGGCGTCCTCTTCCGCGCGATGTGCCGCGCCCCGCCCTCGCCCCGTTCGACCCAGGACGCCGCAGTCGCCCGTCGGGGCGATGTCGCCGTGGGCGGCTGCGGAGGCGGACGCGGCCGCGTCCGCCGCGACGCCCAGGGCGGCCGTGCAGCTGGACGCCGAGCAGACGTGCAACCAGGCCGCAGACGGTCGTGGATCCGAGTGGGGGGAAGAGGGGGGTGGGGGAGGAGGAGGAGGAGGAGGAGGAGGAGGAGGAGGAGGAGGAGGAGGAGGAGGAGGAGGAGGAGGAGGAGGAGGAGGAGGAGGAGGAGGAGGAGGAGGAGGATGAGCAAAAGGACGAGGAATCCGAGGAGGAGGAGGAGGCGAAAGAGGAGGAGGAGGAGGAAGAGGAGGAGGAGGAGGACCAGTGAAAACCCAAGATTCATCAACGATGTTGGAATAAACCCTTGATCCAAGCTCCCTCTTCATAGGACCGTACAAAAATTCATTTCCATTGAGGAAACTCTTTCGTTGGAAGGCAACGATTTGAAGATCCTCGAGCATGCCAAAACATTGTTATCGGTATTTCAACGCCACAGATCAACTTGACTGTTGCGTTTTCACAATCCTGAATCGTGCCAGAAGGTCATATTTGGGACTTCAACACTGCGAATCAACGTAACTGTTGCGCCCGCAAAATCCTGCATCCTTCCAGAACACCATTGCTAGTTTTTTGATCATGGGAGTCCGTGGAACTCCTGCAAATGTTATAAATGAATGCGCGCGGCGCTAAGGCGGGAACAGCATTTTGAAAAGGAACCGCCCTCAATCCGTGAAGCTGTTGCCAATGTTACAAACGAATGTGCGCGGCACTGAGACGTGAGACGCATTTTGAAAACGGGTCGCCCTCAATCAGTGAAACGCTTGCACAGTTTTAAGACGAATGTGCGCGGCGCTATGGCGACAACCACATTTTGAAAACGGGTCACCCTCAATCCGTGAAGCTCATGCACATGTTTGAAACCAATGTGTGCGGCGCGAAGGCGAAACCACATTTCGAAAACACACCGCCCTCAATCCGTGAAGCCCTTCCAATGTTTTAACGGATGTGCGCGGCGCTAAGGGGAGAGCCACATTTTGAAAACACACCGCCCACCATTTGTGAAACTGTTGCCACGGGTCAAGCTTCATGGTCATAAGTTGTGAGGAAGTCTCAGGCGACATGCCCCGCCCGCCCTACAAATTGGCTCCGGGGTTCGACAAGGAGAACTTGTGTATAAAGACAAGGAATGGGAGGAGGAGGAGGAGGAGGATGAGGAGGAGGAGGAGGAGGAGGAGAAGGAGGAGGAGGAGGAGGAGAAGGAAAGGAGAAGGAGGAAGGAGGAGGAGAGGAGGAGGAGGAGGAGGAGGAGGAGAGAGGAGGCGGAGTTGGAGGAGGAGGAGGAAAAGGAGGAGCAGGAGGAGGAGGAGGAGGAGGAGGAGGAGGAGGAGGAGGAGGTGTAGGAAGAGGAGGAGGAGGAGGAGTCAAACGATGAGGAGGTGTAGGAGGAGGAGGAGGAGGACGAGGAGGGGAGGAGGATATGGAGGAGGAGGATGAGGAGGGGAGGAGGAGGAGGAGGAGGAGGAGGAGGAGGACGACGACCAGTGTAAACCTAAGACGAATCAGCGATGTTGAAATGCACCCTCTCTCCCAAATTCGCTTTCATAGGCTCCAATAAGGGGCCATCTCCTCTGAGGGAAGCGCCCCGTTGGGGGACAACCGTGTTAACATCTTGAAGCGCGTCAAAACACAATCTTCAGGATTGCAACGCCACGAATTCAACTGACGGTTACGTCCTGGCGGTCCCGAGTCGTGCCAGAACAGTATTCCTGGGACGTCAACACCCTGAAGCAACGTAATTGTTGCGCCCTGGCAGTCCGGACTCCTTCCAGAAACACCATTTCTGGTATTTTCGCCGCGATCACCAGCGACATTCCTGCAAACTAAAAAAAATAATGAACGCGGCGCTAAGGCGACAGCCACATTTTGAAGACGACCCTCCCTCCATCCGTGAAGCCTGTTCACCTTCTCAGAACGAATGTGCGCGGCGCCAAGGCGAAGGGCACATGTTGCAAACCACCCGCCTTCAACCCATCTCCTTGCATTTGTTTAAAACGAATGTGCGCTGCGCGAAGGCGAGAGCCACATTCCGAAGACGACCCGCTCTTATTTCGTGAAGCCTTTACAAATGTTGGAAGCGAATGTGCGTGGTGCTAAGGCGAGAACCACATGTTGAACACGAGCCTCCCTCAATCCTTGAAGTTTTTTCAACTTTTTAGAACGAATGTGCGCGGCGCTCAGGTGACAGCCACATTTTGAAGACGACCCGCCCTACATCCGTGAAGCTCTTACATCTGTTCAAAACGAATGTGCGTGGCTCCAAGGCGAGAGCGACATTTTCCCGTAAAACTCGGGCAGTTGTTAAACGAATGTGCGCCGCGCAAAGCCACACTTTGCAAACCACCCGCCCTCAATCCGTGAAGTTCTAGCACATTGTTGGAACGAATGTGTGCGGCGCGAAGGCGAGAGCCACAGTTTGAAAACACAGCGTCGTCAATTCGTGAAGCTCTTCAATTTTATGAAGCGACGGTGCGCAGCGCTAGACAAGAGCCACATTTAGAAAACGAGCCGCCCTCCATCTGCGAAGCTGTTGCCAGTCTTTAAGCATCAGGGTCATCAGTGGTGAGAAGTCTCAGGCGAAATGCCCGGCCCGCCCTTTCGACCGGCTTCGGGGCGCGACAGGGAGGAGTTACCAATTAGGAAAAGGAATGGAGGAGGAAGAGGAGGAAGAGGAGGAAGAGGAGGAAGAGGAGGAAGAGTAGGAGGAGGAGGAGGAGGAGGAAGAGACCCAGAGTAAGTCGAATCTGTATCAGTGATGCCTCAGTTCGCCTTCGCGTCTCAAGTCCGTTGCTCATGTGTCCCCACACGCATTCTTTCTCACCGCGCGAAGCGCCCCCCTTTGGAAGACGAACTCGGCGGCCCCGCGCAAGGCTCGCGCGAATCGCCCTCCGTCCTTCGGGTTGTAAGGAATGCGACGTTGTGGGCTTAAAGTTCTAGGAAGTGCTCAGTGACAGCCCTGCTTTGAAGAGTGGCCGCCCTGCATCCGTATAGCCGTTGTACATGTGTTCGACTTTTGGTAACACAGTCATATGAAGTCTCAGGAGAGATCCCCATTATGAAAAGGCACCGCGGCCGCCTTCCATCTGTGTCGTTGTTTTGAATGTGTTTACGCTTTGCGAGTCCCCACCAGCCCATCCAAAAGCAGCCGCTCGAAAACGGTGCGCTGGCCGTAGGGTGTTTTCTCTTCCTTCTCCCTCTCTTTGGCTTCTTTCTTCCATCCTCCTCTCCTTCTCCTCGTCCTCGTTGCTCCTTCTCTTCGTCCTCCTCCTCCTCCTGGCGTTGCCGTGCGATCTTGGGGCCCTCTTGGGATCTCAGGGAATCGTGGCCCTGGGGCTCTCTTGGGGCTCTCTTGGGGCTCCTTTGGGAGTCTCGAAACCCTCTCGGGGCTCTTTGTGGGAGTTTGGGAGGTCTCGTGGGGCCATCTTGGAGGCCATCGGGCAAAGAAGGAGAGAGCATGTATTGGTGTACCCCCGTCGGGGCCCGAAATATCGCCTCTTGGAGCCCTCTTGGGCCGCTCTTGGGCGCCTGTTGGGCGCTCTTGAGGCCGTCTTGGGGCCCTCTTGGGCCGTATTGGCCGCCTCTTGGGCCGTCTTGGGGCCCCCTTGGGCCGTCTTGGAGCCGTCTTGGGAGCCCCTTGGGCCGTCTTGTGGCGGTCTTGCGGGCCTTTTGGGCTGTCTTGGAGCGTCGGGAAACCGAAAGGGCGGGAACGCTAAACTGTTTGAAATACTTTAGGAAAACATGTGATTTTGGCATCGTGGGGCCCTCTTAGGGCGCTTCTCTCGGTGCTCTCTTGGAGCGTTTGGGGGGCCTCTTGGGCCGTCTTGGCCTCTCGGGGGCGTCATTGGGAGGTTCCGCGGCCACTTGGAGCCGTCTTAGGGCGGTCTTGGAGCCTCTTGGCGCTCTCTTGGGCCGCTCTTGGGCGCCTCTTGGGCGCTCTTAGGGCCGTCTTGGGGCCCTCTTGGGCCGTATTGGCCGCCGCTTGGGCCGTCTTGGGGCCCCCTTGGGCCGTCTTGGAGCCGTCTTGGGAGCCCCTTGGGCCGTCTTGGGGCGGTCTTGCATGCCTTTTGGGCTGTCTTGGAGCGTCGGGAAGCCGAAAGGGCGGGAACGCTAAAATGTTTGAAACGCCAACGGCAAATCAATGGTTTTGGCTTCTTGGGGCCCTCTTAGGGCGCCTCTCGGGGCTCTCTTGGAGCGTCTTGGGGACCTCTTGGGCCGTCTTAGCTTCTCGGGGGCGTCCTCGGGAGGCTCCGCGGCCACTTGGAGCCGTGTTGTGGCGGTCTTGGAGCCGCTTGGGGCTCTCTTGGGCCGCTCTTGGGCGCCACTTGGGCGCTCTTGGGGCCGTCTCGGCGCCCTCTTGGGCCGTATTGGCCGCCGCTTGGGCCGTCTTGGGGCCCTCTTGGGCCGTCTTGGAGCCGTCTTGGGAGCGCTCTTGGGGGCCCTGGGAGCGCTCTTGGGGCCATCTTGGAGGAGATCGGTCAAAGAAGACGAAAGCACTTATTTGCCCCCCCTGGGGCCACGATCCCTGTGAGGGGTGTCAAAAAATGAGCCTCCCAGGGACCGACAAAGGACGCCCCGGCGACCCGCGGCCCCCCCTCTCCAGGCCCAGGGGGAGGGGGTAGGGGGAGGGGTAAACCCCTCCCCGAAAGGGAAGAAGGGGGTTGAGAACAGAGAGGACTATCTAAACCACTCACGCCCTAAAGGGCTGGTGGGATTTGAAGTTGTGCTACCTTGAAGGAAAGATCACATGAGAGCCCCATGATGAAATATTGGCCTCCATGCGTGTAACGGTTGAAAGCTCTGAAGCCGAAAGTGCATGGTGGTAAGGAAAGCGCGGTATTATGTAAACAGCTGGCCTTCCATCCGTTTTAGCCTGAGATTTCGAAGCTTCGGGGTTGTCGGTTGCAAGGAAGTCTCAAGCGACACGCCCAGCCGGACCTACAGACGCGTCTGGTCGTGGGACAGGGATGGGTTATTGGGGAAGACGGGAGTATGGAAGGCAGGGAGTATAGAGGGATGGGCGAGGGAGGAGGACAGGGGTATGTCAGGTCTTGCGCCCACCAGGAAACAAAACCGAAGCTCCGACAACATATTTTTGCATTTTTTGAAATTTGTTTTGGTGGCGCCGAAGGGTGGCGTTGTCGCGCGCACGTCCCAACTTGGACCGGGGCCAACCGCCACCCATGCATCGCGCGAGTGTCTTTATTGCCATCACTTGGGCTGTTCCACCGTTATCATAACGCATGCATCGTCGTTCTTCGCGGTCGAGCTGTTTTCGACTTCGTTCGTGCCAACCGTGTTGCTCGCACCTCTCTCGGAGTAGCCTAATTGGGCATGAAGCATCGCGCGGGCTCGCATGCTTTCGCAATCAGACAGTTGCGCTTCTACCAACGCTACGCCACTCATTTCTGGTTGAAATCGTTTATTTTTTGATTGGCGTTTTGTCGCCGAAAGCTTCGCCTGTAGAATGTCACTACTGAGGTATGGAGGAGGAGCGGGAGGATGAGGAGGAGGGGTGAAGAGGGGGAGAAGGAATGGAGAAGGAGGAGGAGGGAAGGACGATGGGGGAGGAGGAGAATGGAGAGACGGAGGTAGGGAAGTTGCGGATGATGATGATGATGCTGCTGTTGCTGATGATGATGATGATGATGATGATGATGATGATGATGATGATGATGATGATGATAATTATGATCATTGGTGACGATGATGATGATGATGATGATGCTGATGCTGATGCTGATGCTGATGATGATGATGATGATGATGGTGATGGTGATGGTGATGGTGATGGTGATGGTGATGGTGATGATGATGATGATGATGATGATGATGATGATGATGATGATGATGGTGATGATGATGATGATGATGATGACGATGATGATGATGATGATGATGATGAGGATGAGGATGAGGATGAGGATGATGAGGATGATGAGGATGAGGATGAGGATGAGGATGATGATGATGATGAGGAGGAGGAGGAGGAGGATGATGAGGATGATGAGGATGATGCTGATGCTGATGATGATGCTGATGATGATGGTGGTGATGATGATGATGATGAGGAGGAGGAGGAGGAGAGGAAAACGAGAGGGGGGAGTTGGAGGTGGAGGAGGACGAAAAGGGGGGAGTGGTGGTGGAAGGTGGAGAAGGTGGAGGAGGGTGAGGAGGAGGTGGTGGTGGAGGAGGAGGCTTAAGGGATGAAGCTGCAACCCACGGTAACGTGATTCCGCCACAAACCAATCATTGAACGACAACGGGCCACATCCCTAGAGTAACCGGGATGGCCGATACCAGACGCCAGTGGTTGCGTTGGAGCTCGCAGTATGAGGTTTCGGCCATGCGCCTTCAAGAGTTCTGGGGAATTGGGCGTTCCTGAATGCCCGAACAGCCGCCCTGGCTTCTCGCTCCTGCGGGTGACCTGGTCCGAGGAGGGCTTAGACCAAAGCACCTCCTGTCTGGCGCGGACCTTAGGCTTCCGGGAACCTACGAGGTCAGAGAAGTCTCCAAGGACCTTTGGAGGTCCCGGGAGGCCTTGCCCGCAGCACTCCAGCAGCATGCGGCTTCCAGGGGCTCCTGGCCCCTGGGTGGACATTGCTGTGGCTATCATTGCAAATGGCTGCGGCTTTGGCCATGGGGGCAACTTTTTTGGTGCGGGGACGCCTCGGCGGCGCCTCGGTGGCGCCACGAACCATCGTAGCCCGCGTGCGGGGCGGTGAGCCCCATTTGGGGGGGGGTTCCTTTGGGCTAACGGGGCAGCCCGGAAGACTCTCCTGACCGCCTATTGGGCGGTTAAGGCGGAACTTGCTGCTACCATTTTTGAGTGTTGGGGGCCGTCGTAGCCCGCGTGCGGGGCGGTGAGCCCTTTTTTGGGGGGGGTCTCTTCGGGCTTGGCCGCCCAAGAGGGCGGTTAAGGCGGCTCGGGCCCATGGGACGGCTGAGGCCCATGTCTGCGGCCCGCAGACTGTCCGCAACGTTCTTTGTAGTTGGGTCTCCTAGGGCCGTACGAGCACTGCTATCGAGAGGGGTGTATCCCCATGTCCCATGTCTTACGCCGCTGTGGACTGGCCATCCACTGCAGATGCTTCTGGGATTCTGGGGACTTATGTGAGCTCAAAGAAATCTCCAAGGACCTCTGGAGATCTCGGAAGGAGCGCTCCGGAAGCATACGGCTTCCATGGACTCCAGCACCCTGCTGGGTGACATGGCTGCGGCTAGTTAGTGTGACGACTGGCACAAATTGCTGCGGCTTTTGGCCAGGGGGGTAACTCCCCTGGTGCGGAGACGCCTCGGCGGCGCCACAAATGGCTGCGGCTTTGGCCAGGGGGACACCTCCCTGGAGCGGAGACGACTCGGCGGCGCCAGACGCCATCGTGGCCCGGCGGTGTACCCTGTTGGGGGGACTTGTTCGGGTCGGGCGGCGCTGCGGGGACGCGTCTCCGTGCTGTCCCAGTGGGGAATTCCGTTGCGCCAGGGGCTCAGCGCCTCTGGCACGCAGGCGCCTCGGCGGCGCTGGGGGCCGTCGCAAGCCCGCGTGCGGGGCAGGAAGCCCCATTCGAGGGGTCTCCTAGGGCTAAGGTGAATAGCCCCTTCGCCTCCCCCCGATCTCCGTGGGGCCAGAGGCACCGGTGGGGGGGTTGGGATGGGGTGTTAGGGCCAGGGGAGGAGCCCGAACTCGCTCCCTCTGGCCCATGTCGCCCCGGTGGCGGAACCCCAGCGAGCTCAGGGAGGTGCTCGTCGGAGGCGACGTGTCTCCTTATAGGCCGCCCCGTGCGTCAACCCTGGATGCTCTACCCTGCAGCCGTGCACACCGTCGGCCTGGGGAGGACGAGGAGAAGGTAGCAAGAGCGGGAATAGCTAAAAGACGGTGTCTATGTCAAAAGAGCTACGCGCCACCCCCAGAGCTTGCCGAAGAAGCAGGCAAGGAGAAGGGAGTGAGGACGGTTGGGTGGGAGGTCTCTGGGCCGCGGCGTGCCTGGTGCTGTCCCGCGGTTGTCCTGCGGTTGTCCTGCGGTTGTCCCGCGGTTGCCCCGATGGTTGTTTCAGGTTGTCCCGATTGGTGTCCCGATGGTTGTTCCGATGGTTGTTCCGATGGATGTTCCGATGGTTTTCCCGATGGTTGTCTCGCCCGATGTCCCGACGGTTATCCTGGTTGTCCCGATGGGTTTCCCGATGGTTGTCTCGGCAGATGTCCCGATGGTTGTCGCGTGATTTTCCCGATGGATGGTTGTGATGGTTGTGCAGATGGATGGTTGTCGGTAGTCCCATTGGTTGTCCCGTTGGTTGTCCCGATGGTTTTCCTGATGGCTGTTCCGATGGTTGTCCGATGGTAGTCCCGATGGTCATCCTGATGGTTGTCTCGATGCTTATCCTGATGGTCTGCCCGTGATATTCCCGATAACTGTCCCGATGGTTGTCCAGATTGTTGTCCTGATGGTTGTCCAGATTGTTGTCCCGATGGTCGTCCAAATGGCTGTCCCGTGTTTGTTTTTTTTCTTCTTGATGTTGTCCCGATGATTTCGGCAAGGGGTGTCCCGATGTTTGTCCCGTTGTTTGTGCCAACGGTTGCCCTGTTGGTTGTCCCGATGATTGTCCCGATGGTTGTGCCGATTGTGTTGCGCTGGTGTCCCGTGATTGTCCCTTGGTAGTCCCGGTGTTTTTCTGGATGGTTGTTCCGTTGTTGTTCTTTTGCGGTCCCAATTGTTGTCCCGTGGTTTGCGACTCCAAACATCAAACCCTACCTTCCAACATCCCTATCACCGTCAGGGTGGTCTTGTAGGTAAGTCTCCCGACGGTATTTCTATGCGAAGTTCATGGTTTTAAATGATTTCGAGGCTCGCGCATGTCGCTGGCATCGTGTTATTTTCGCAGGGGTTCGCGCATTTAGTGTTCTTTGGACATGTCCACTGCGTGATATTGCTTACGTGAGACGGTACCCAGGGCCCGATCCAGCCTAGTACCGCATGGAATGGTTCAAGACCTAGGAGGTGCGTTTGGATCAGAAGCCACATGAGAACATGATTGAACATGCTGACCCAGATAGGGTCTGGTGCGGCCCAGTCCAGCTGATGGGGGGAATGATCGCCGAGTCATTTTCATGCTTGGCATTCTCGCAACTGTGTTCCGCAAGCGCATTTTTTTTTTGTTTGTTTTCTGGTCGGACGCTGTCTGGGACTCTGTCTGTGCGTTGTGATGTTTTGTTTAGTCGGTTCTACGGGAACCCCGATGCATGTGGTGATATGGGAATCGCTTGGCTAATGAGTCATAGGGTCAGATGGGTCAGATGCCACATTTCGTTTGGCCATCCAGGGGACATGTCGCTTGGGTTCTTTACCCTGGTCGTCTCCACCTCTTGTGTTCATCGCAGGCGATGGCCATTCCGCACCTCGCCATCCTGGAGGCACAGCAGCGGCCGTGTATCCTGACGTCAATGTTTATCCCGCATCTGCGGACAAGCAGGCACTTCACTGGGATGCTATGCAGAGCGATGGGATAAGAAGGGATGATGCGCTTTCCCCAGACAGTTCAATGTGAAGCGAGTTGGTATGGCAGGATGGAGCGGGACAAGACAGGGCCAAACCACACAGTGCGACTGTCTGAGAAGCCAGCACGTTTTGTATCTTGACTTTGAGTGAGAGCCGGCCGGATCTTTTCATCGGTTGAGCTCTAAGTTCCCCACTCAGGCTTTGCTTACGGGGTGTCTATGTGGTTGTGAAGAGAATCGGTGGGTTCCGGACCTGGCCGTCCGGCGTTCCTCGGGTTTGTCGGGGTTGCCCAGTTGCTTGGGTTACCCAAGTTGCCCAGGTTGCCCAGGGTTGCTCAGGGTTGCCCTGGGTTGATCGGGTCGCGTTCCTCGGGTTGCCCAGTTCCCCGGTGTTCTTCTGTCTGCCCAGTTGCGCCGGGTTGCCCTGTTGCCCAGTTGCCCGGTTGCCCAGGTTGCCCGGTTTGCCTTGTTGCCCAGGCTGCCTGGTTGCCCAGGTTGTTTGGTTGCCCGTTTGCCAAGCAAGTGACAAGCAGTACCAAGCAATCCCAAACACTGCCCGGCAATGCCAAGCACATGTCAAGCAGTGTCAAGCAATGCCAAACAATGCCAAGCAATACCGGGCAAGGCCAACCAATGCCAAGCAATGCAACGCAATGCCGAGCAATGCCAAGCAATACCAGCAATGCCAAGCAATTCCAACCAAAGCCAAGCAATGCCAAGTAATGGCAATGCCAAGCACATACCAAGCTCATACCAAGCAATGCCAAGCAATGCCGAGCAAGGTCAACCAATGCCAAGCAACGCACAGCAATGCAACGCAATGCGGAGCCATGGCAAGCAATGCTATGCAATGCCAAGGACATGTCGAACAATGCCAAGGAATGGCAAGCAATCCCAAGCAAGGCCAAGCAATGCCAAGCAATACCAAGCAGTGCAAAGCAATGCCGAGTAATGCCAACCAGTTCCAAGCAATGCCAAGCAGTTCCATGCAATGCTAAGCAATTTCGAGCACAGCCAAGCAATGCCAAACATATTGCAAACAATGCCAAGCACTATCATGAAATGGCACGCAATGCCAGCAATGATGAACAATGCCAAGTAATACCAACCAGTGCCAAGGAATACCGAGCAATGCCAAGCAATGCCGAGCAATGCCAAGCAATGCCAAGCAATGTCAAGTAATGCTAAGCAAAGCCAGGTAATGCCAAGCCATGCCAGATACTGCATATGCCGAGCATTGCCAAGCAATGCCAAGAAGAGCCAAATCAATGCCAATCAGTGCCAAATAGACCAATTCAATGCCAAGCAAAGCAAATCAAGCCAATGCCATGCAACGCAAACCAATGCAAAGCAATGCCAAGCAATTCCACGCAGTGCCAAGCAACGCCAAGCAATTCGAATCAACGCTAAGCAATGCCAAGTAACGCAAAGCAGCGCAACGCAGTGCCTTCCTCGTCGAGCTACAAGAATATCTTCCTTAAGTGGTGTCGTGCGAGGTTCGTTGAGCTTGATGAGCGATTCCACTTCGTCGTCGTTGTACCAAGTAAAGTGCGACTGCGGAGTTGTCACCACGCTTACGGTCAAGTGCACGCAGGGAGGATGTATTGACTATTCCCGTCCGAGCGAACGTGCTGATCCGCATTATGTTGCGAACGTATGGTGCGCCAGCGCCAAGTACAATAAGCTAAAGTACTCCGACAAAGCGATGTCAATCAATGGCACGCCAAACGAGTACAGGATAACTTCTATTCAACAGCATCGGCTTCCAAGAGTGATGTGCATCAGATGCGAGGAATGTGCGTTTGATTGATACGACCATACTCAGGCTTTCTGGGTACATTTGAAGCGATACAGAATTACAAGCATCCTGTGTTGTTGGGTCTTCGTTTTGAATGTGCAGCGCCCAGCGTCACCTCACTCACTCCTGCTTCCCTCCCTCCCTCCCCCCAGCTGCTCTCCGCGTGTCGCTCCCGACGCACACCTCGCACGCTTCGTGGCCCGCTAGGGAGCTCCGCAGAGGGTCCCAGCGGCAGGCTGCAAACGCCACCACCCCGCTCATGTCGACACACTCCTCACACGTTTCGTGACGCCATAGGGAGCTTTACCCGGGGCACCGGTGGCAGGGTCCACATGCCGCTGCCCCGCCAATTTCTGCATGCTCTCACACGTTTCGTGGCTCCATATGGAGGAGCTCCACCGAGGGCACCAGCCCCGCCCATTTCCGCACACCCATCGCACGTTTCGCCAGCCCCTGGACCTCTCCACCCATTCCCTGGGATTGTTTTTTCTCAACTATCATATGGTGTTTTGTCTTCGTTTTGAAGAGAGTGAGTGTGAGAGAGAGAGAGAGCGTTCCGCGTCTCACTCACTCCTTCCTCCCCCCCTCTTCTCCACTGCTTCCTCCACCCATGCCTGCATCTGCCCTCCGCATGTGCCTGTTTTGGCACACCACTCATGCTTTTCGTGGCCCCGTGGGGAGCTCCGCCGAAGGCCCCAGAGGCAGCGACCGCATGGCGGCAGCGCGCCGATTTCGGCACACCACTCACAAGTTCCGTGGCCCCATAGAGAGCTCCGAGAAGGCCCCAGTGGCAACGTCCGAATGGCTGCACCGCACCCATTTCGGCACACCTGTGGCACCCCCCCTCTTCGTCTCACCTGCTACGCGATACTCGCAGCTGCGTGAGCTTGGGTCCTTCGCCAGTGTAATTGACGGTCCCGCGGCCAAGAAGCGGCCCTTGGATACCGAACATCGAGAAAAGTTTCTGGCGGGAAGTTCTGGGTCGCCAGAGGTCTGGGCTTCTCCTCAAAGATCTACCCCTGCCCTTCTCCTCGAGGCGGATACAGCCGCGGCGACGAGGAGCCCGCCAGGAGACCCGAAAAGGGCAGAAAGCGGAACAAACACGTGGATAGATTCGAGGATCGAGGTCTGGGCAGTCTCTCCTGCGCCTCCTGCTTGTCCTCCTCCTGTCGGGCGGGGCTAGGACAGGGGTAAATCGTTCCAGAGTTTTCCCGAACGCTCACAGAGCGTTGCAACTCAGACCGCGTCGCCCGACATCCTCCAGGACCGCCGCAACTCAGAGATCGCCGATTTGTCCTGGTCTGAATTTGTCCTTGTTTTGGTATCGTCTCTTCCGGCGCCATCACCGAACCCGGCGTCGCCAGAGGCTGCGATCGCGCTCGGCCTCCTCGTCCACGCTCCGGTCGTGCACGCCGCCGCCGTCTGCCCGCGAAGGAGCCGAGAAGGGGGGGGGGTCCCTATCCTCCCCCCCTCCTTCCCCTCCTACCCTCCTCCTGCCCCACCCCCCTCCTCCCTTCTCCTCGCCCGCCTGAGCACCTTCTCACCTCCCCCGCCCTCCTCTCCCTCCCTCCTCTTCCCCCTCGCTGCTCCTCCTCCTCCTCCTCCTCCTCCTCCTCCTCCTCCTCCTCCTCCTCCTCTTCCGCCAGGCCTTCCCCTCGCTCTTCAGGGGAGTTATCGAGAAGGTCCTCCCGCGCTTCGGGGTCCCGCTGGGCTTCCGCAACGTGATCGAGGCGCTCTACAGCAACTGCCTCGCCTTCAGCTCCTTCCGCGCCGAGGGCACCAGTGCGGAGCTCGAGCCGCTGTTCGCGCTCCTGTGCGGCATCATGCAAGGATGCCCGCTCTCTGGCACGGTCTGGTGCTTGGCCATGGATGCGCCCATCCGTGCGCTGCTGGCGGCGATTGCTGAGCATGGATTCCTCACGGCTTGCGCCGACGATCTCGGGATGCTGATCAAGAACGCTGTCGCCCTCCCTAGCATAGACCACACCTTCGTCTCTATAGAGGTCGCCTTCAACCTGCAGCTGGCCCTGCACAAGTGCGTGCTGGTCCCGCTGTGGGAGGAGCTCACGGAGGACACACTGCTGAACGTCAAGTCTTTCCTCGCTGCGGAGGTCCCCCGCTGGCTGGGCTTCCGCGTCGACTCCACGGCCAAGTACCTGGGAACTCACCTGGGCCCAGGCGTCACGGACTTCGGCATCTGGAAGGGTGCGGCGGGGAAATGGTGGACCCGCTGCTGGGAGCTGGCGCGCACAGGCATGGCCACCAGCCTTGCGGCCCGCGCGTACAACATCAACGCGCTGCCGTGCCAATCGTACCTCGCGCAGTTCTACTTCATCGTGCCTGCCATCTGGAAGGTCGAGTTCACCTCCCTGCACCGCCTGCTGCGGCTGCCGCCCTCGTCCATGCGCAAGGCTGACATCCTATCGATGAGCGCGTGGTGTGGCTCCCCGTCGCCGATTGGCCTCTTCCCCTACACGCTCGCGGCGATGATGCGCTCGGCGGAGAACACGGTGCGCGGATGGGAAGCCCACCTTCACCACCTTCATGAAGCTGCAGTGGAGCATGTCCCGCTGATTGACGTGATCAAGGGCAACTGGTCTCCACCGTGGTGGCGGACGCGGAGGGCGATCGTGCAGAACTACGCCATGATCTCGGACACCTACGCCCAGCTGGACATCCCCAGACCGACGCTCGACGTGTTCGCGATCCCGATCCCGAGCAGGTACCTCAAGATTGCGAAGTCGGCGATGACCCTGGAGACGAAGACGGCGGCAGCGGCCACTCCTCCCAGGAAGCCCAAGCGCCAGGCCATGGCCGCCGCGTCGCTCCGTGGCTCGCTGTACCCCGAGGACCTGGTGGCCACCATCCACCGACGGCTGCGCAGGTGGGGCGTCGAGTGCCCGTTGCCTGTGCTGCGCGAGAGGTGGCCTCCGCTGCGTAGCAAGCTGACGGAGGTACGCCCTGCCTGGATGTGGTCGTGGATGCGCACCGCAGTCAACGGCTGGACGACTTCGCGTCGCATGAGCGCCGTCATCGACGCGCGCCCGTGCCTCTTCGGCTGCGAAGAGGAGGATGCTCTCGAGCACTACATCTCCTGTCCGATCCTCAGGGCGATGGTCGCGGGCGAGGCGGGTGCGGACTCCCTGGGCAATGGCCCCGAGCTCCTCGGCTTCGGCGACGAGCAGTACCACGCGAAGCGCCCCATCACGGAGTGCATCTACGCCGCCGGCCTCATGTGCCAGTGCTACCACATCCAGAAGCACCGCATGGACGTGGGCCTGGCCGCGGGAGCTGACCAGCGGGCTGGTGTGAGACTGGCCGCGCTGCATCGCATGCAAGCATAGGCGAGGCTGCAGATCGAACTGCCCGCCGAGCTTCGTGCCCTCCTCCTCCTCCTCCTCCTCCTCCCCGTCCTCCTCCTCCTCCTCCTCCTCCTTCTCTTCCTCCTCCTCCTCCCCGTCCTCCTCCTCATTATCCTCCTCCTGTTCCCCTCCCCCTTCTATTAGATTGGATTCTACTCTCAGTGGAAGTGTCCGCCTATGCTGGACACCTCTAACATCAAAACACGACTCATCACGTCGCGCCAATCAGGGGTACATCTATGTTGGCGGGCTGAATTTGTCCGAGCCTTGTGAGCAGCTGTGGGACATCCCACTTCTCGCCCCATGTCAACTCCAAACAATACTTCCGTCCTCGGCCAGAGCATCTCTGTGGACCATAAAATATGTACTATCGTCCTCGCTCCTCGAATGAGGCTGAGCAGGTCGGATGGCGCGGTAACCTTTGGATCCGAATCTCGCCACCCTTGGTACTGCTTGGCCCAACTGGGAAAGAAGCCTTTACAGGGACGGTTCCTTTGACGCTTCCATCTTTGACGCTTTCACAAGGAATCGACCCCGCCCACGCGTAGCTCCTACGCCGAATGCAGGCTATCACCCCCTCACTCCCCCCAACCCGAGTCCCCGCCCCGTCCCACACCTTGAACATGTGCAGGCTTTGCAGAGCCTGAGACTCAGACAGCACCTCGGACGAACACTCGGCAGGGCAGGACTCAAGGAAAATAGGTTGCTCAAGTTCGTGGAGCACCTTGCGGACTCCAAGCCTGTCATTCTCGGCCTGTTAGCGCTTAGAGATGTTCCTTTCCTATGCAGGCGTTTCCTTGCAGTAGACGTGGGTTGGCTGGTGCGGGGGGGTCCTGTTCTTTCTGATCACCATCTTTCCCGGGGAACCCGCGCGAATCGCGCTACGACCTCTGGCTCATAAGAACCTCCTGAACCTTTCCCCAGCGAGCAATGCCTTCTTGCAGCTGATCTCTTATCGACTCTGCCTTTAGCTTGCTGGACATCTGGGAGGCAAGCGGGCCCCGTCTTTGCAAACCTGCCAGCATGCCTAGCCCCTTCCCGCTCAAAGTGGGAAGATAGGCCCTCAACAATGTCGTTAAAGGTCGCGTGGCCTACAGTCTTGTGGGCAGTGGCCCCATGTTCAAGAACATGCCACTTCAGACCACATAGGTTGGCCTGGGGCTGCTGGAAGACATCAACCTGAGTCTAACGCTGCGCGCAGCTCCTCGCCAGCGCCACGCCGCGCCGCTCCCGCTCGCCCGACAAGGCAACGCGGCCAAGCACCGGCCCCGACGGCCGCTCGCGCCTTTGGCGTCACGCTGAGCCACGCTGGCGAAAGCCGTGCCATCGCAGGGCCCATGCCTGCGGCCCCTTGCGAACCCTACCCCTGCGGGCCCATTCGCCGCGGGGGCATCGGACGCCCCCGCTGGGGGTCCACTCGGCCGCGGGCGGCCCTCAGACTCTGCACCTCGGCCGGGCCCTGCCAGCATCCTGGCCTGCAGGGGCCGGGCTCACACGTGGCCGCCTGCCATGGGCACGGCCGTGCACGGCCCGCCACGGGCCCTGCTTACACGCCTCGCGCGGCGTTGCGCCGCGCGAGCCTGCGCTCCTGCGAGCCGTCGCCGCGTGAAGCCGCCATCGGCAGGCCCGCGGTGAACGCGCGCATCCCCTCCCCCCTCCCCGAGACTGAAGACAATTCGGCAACGGACGCCGACGATGAAACTGAGGCTGAGGATGACGCCGCCGCCGCCCATGATGATGACGATGATGATGATGATGATGATGATGCCGATGCTGATGCTGATGCTGATGATGATGCTGATGCTGATGATGATGCTGATTTTGGTGATGCTAATGCTAGTGATGATGATTCTGGTGATGATGATACTGGTGATGATGATCATTGTGATGATGATGATGTTGAGTATGAGGACGACGATGGTGATTATGCTGATGCTGTTGCTGATGATGTTCTTCTTGGTGGCGATGATGATGCTGATGATTGGCGATTGGTGGATGTTGATGGTGATGCTTGTGTTTTGTTGTGGTTTCCTGTAGTTGGTGATGAGGATGATGGTGATGGTGACGATGATGTTGATCACGGTGATGATGATGATGTTGATGATGCTGATGCTGATAATGTTGATGATGCTGATGCTGCTGATGCTGATGCCGATAATGATGATGCTGACAATGGTGATGGTGATGAGGATGATAACGATGGTGATGGTGATGGTTATGACGATGTTGATGCTGATGATGATGATGATGATGATGATGATGATGATGATGATACTGATGTCGATCGTGTTGATGAGGACTAGCCCGATGATGTGGTTGCTGACGGTGATTCGTATCACCATGGATTGTGGTATTGGTGTCGGTGCTGGTTGTGGTGGTGAATGGCGACGAGGACGACGATGATGGCGACGGTTGTGGTCGTCGGGAGCATGATGACGGTTGTCAGAAGATGTGGATTGAGATGAATCTGATGATGTTGATGATAATGATCATGATGATGCTGATGACCATGATCATGATGGTGATGATGATGCTGATGATGATGCGGCTGATGAGGATGATGATGCTGATGATGTTGATGATGATGGCGATGGCGATAGCGATTACGATGACGATGACGACGATGATGATGCTAGTGCTGATGATGCTGATTATGATTATGCTGCTGCTGAGGATGATGACGGGGATGATGGTGATGTTGACGCTGCTTATGATGATGGTGATGATGACGACGATGATGATGCTGATGATGATGCTGATGATGATGCTGATGCTGCGGATGATGATGAGGCTGATGATGATGCTGATGATGATGATGATGATGGTGGTGGAGCTGATGATAATGATGGCTGATGATGATGATGATGGTGGTGGTGGTGATGATGATGATGATGATGATGATGATGATGGTGATGGCTGCTGATGAAAATGATGATGACAATGAGGAGGAGGAGGGGGACCATACAGCAGGGAGAGGTGGAGGGTGAGAGGGGGGGGGCGGATGCAGATCGGTGAGGTGAGCACATGTATGATGATGATCAATTTCGGTCGAGCGAGTCAGAGTGCCCTGCC